GATATGGTCTTTGGTAAAGATAAAGAAGGTGATCAGTATTACGAGGGATGTTCTGTTCGAAAACATGATGCAAAATTTTCATTTTCATGTTGCAAGGGCAAATGGTCAAATCTGTGATTTCTCTGTTGCAGATTTTCCTTTAATGAACTTGTATGATCTTATACAAGTTGCATTGCTATTGAAAGACAAGAATGCTTCGAATCTTCAAAGAACAGATCCAAAAGTGTTTAGACTTGGTCTTGCCCACATCAAAATATTCATAGATAACTACTATGAGTGTTTGGCCCTTACTGATGTGGAGTTGGCTACTGCGAAGGGGTTGGAAGTGAAATTTCCTATGGAAGTCACGAATACTCAAGCTGAGCTGAAGCAATATGCAGATGGGGAAATCTGCTTAAAACCATTTGGATTGGTCTTCGCAGGAAAGGATAAGACTGGGAAGGCTAAAATATTTTTGTTCCAGGCGTGCGAAGTGGAGAGATACACTACATCCCAGTATACGAACTTTATTGTTCGTATGAATAAATGTTCGAAAAACAACCAAGGGGATAAGAAGGATTTAAAGAAGATTATTTCATGGTATACGGAGATACGAAGAGTGATGTTGTTTGCTGCACAGATTCTCTCAACTTGAGAAGTTCGACTTGTTTACAAAGGGGGAGATTGTAGGGTCGAAATTAGTTTTAATCAGTTGAAGTCTGTGTAATTGTTCTCTTCGTAGATTTTGTTATGTATTTTGCTAAGGTGTCTTTTGTACGAAGCTTAACGTCTAAGCCTTAGTATTTTTTGTACTTCCTGTTTCCTATAAATAGGAGCTGAGCATTGAGTAGATAGTAAGAGTCAGAGAGTGATTGTAAGAGTTCACCCTTTTTACTATCGTTCTTGTACTCGTGTTCATCGGAAGTAATAGAGCTGTAACCAGATTATATTTACTTCTCGTGTTCAAATTACATTTGATTTACTCTGATTCGCTTCATAGTCGATTCATCACTTCATCAAAAACTGTTTGTGAATTTGAAAACTGATTTTGATAAGGAACACGATAATAAGTCTTTTGTTTGTTTGATTGAAAATCACTTCTCTGAAAATTATTTTGCGAAAACCTTGGATTGTTAGAATTCTTAACAAAATCTTTTTGTTGACTTTTCACATAATTCTCATGATAAGAAGTTTGAACATTTGACTTTTGATTTGGTTTCGAAACATGTTCCTTGTCTTTAGAAAAATCTTTTTGTGATTTCGAAGGTTGTGACATTGATTTCTTTCCACCAGAAAACGATTTTTGTGATTTTGTCTTAACAGATTCAGACTTTTTTCTTTTCAGATCTTTTTAGACACATAAGTATTCCAATAAGCTTTGTTTCGTGCCTTATTAATTGAAATCCCATTTTCTTGTGAAATCTTTTGAATCTTTTCTTTTTGGCTCTGAATTTTATTAATTTGTTTTTCAAAAACTCTATCGTTTGTTTGTTTCTCAACCTTTGAGGATTCAGTTTTAACCACCCAAGTTCGACTTGGCTTTTGTATTTGAAAAGTGTATGAGTTTTTGGTAAGATTGTTCTCAATGGTGCTTTGATTTGAGAAAAAACCTTCCTTCGAAGCTTTCTTATTGTCCTCTTCAACCAGTTTGTTGATTTCTGGATTCACACTGTCTCCATTACCCTTTGTAACGAAAACTTGGTTTGGAAAGACGTCATTATCAGTGCACGTGAAGTTTGGATAAACCACAAAATTAGGTTCAAGATAATGAGAACCTTTTTCTTTCATGATTTTATCAAATTTCTTTGTTTCTTTATACACCTGATCTTCATCAATGCGAGGAATTTTTGTTTCTTTCGAAACATTTGGATCTATTGTTTCCTTCGAAAACTCGTCATCATCATCACTGTCAGTTTGACTATCTTCGACAGTCACATGGTCAGGGTCAAAAACTTTCGACGTAGAGGGTTGGTCTTTGTCAACTTTAATATTCGAATCAAGACATTTTTCTTTACCCTTAGATAATGATTTGACATTAATGACAGATAAATGAGAATAGTCAACAACTTCCTCTGCTTCAATTTCACTGATATTGTCATCTTCAGTATCAGCAAAGTTCTTTTGAGAGTCAGAAGTCAAATTCTCAGTCGTTTTCAAAATCTTGATTTGTTCATTTATAGTCAAAGTCTTATTAACTATATCAACAAGATCATTAGCATCTAGATTTTCATCGATTTTCACTATTCCATAGGAATATCTATTATCGGGGACTATATCAAAGTCTGATAGAGTCATCTCATAATCATAAGAAGTTGCATCAACTTTTCCCCTTTCGAAAGATAAGAATGGTAGAAGCTTCCTATGTTGTTCTTTACTTATATCACTAGAGTGATGCAATTCAGTCAGTTTACAATAGAGTCTTTTAGCAGAATTACAGTAAATATTCCTTTGTCTTAACAAAATCCTATTATCTACATTCAAACTATCTCTAACAATCATAATGTTCGTTATTTGCAACTCTAGACGATCTATTTTAGCCTTCTTCGCCTCCAACATCCTTTGGGTTTCTAGTAACTGAGTACTAGATTTTTTAGCCTCATTGCTATCAGAGATCACTAGATTATTAACATAAGTAACAGCATCATCAAACTCAGTTAACATAGAATTATTAGCACTTAAAGGAATATTAAAGGATTGAAGTAGAGAACGTACCTTTGAATTCATTGGGTCTTTGTCTGTTTATGTCGAAACAAAGCAACGACCAGTAATCTTCTCTTCTTTATCCTCCTCAAACTTTGCAAACATGTCTCCATGTGTCGGATTTCTCATCTCTTCATCATCCGAGCCAGAAGACCATATTTGGTATTTGCCCCCATCCTCATCTTCTCCGCTCGCAACCAATGACATCCCTTTCGACTTTGCCCTCACTTCTTCTAGCTTTTCGGAATAATATGCCTCATCCTTAACCCTATTCATCTTTTCTTCTTTCTTTTTCATCATGTAGTCATTAGCCATGTGATTTGCTCCATGACAGTAGTGACAATCAATTCTCGAATCACCTTTTATCTTTTTCTCTGGTTTCAAATCTTCACTCTTGACCTCTTTCTTCTCAAACTTCTTCCATCACTAACTTTTCCAGTGTTACTTCCCTTCATTTCACCAACTTTCGACTTTCCATTGAATGGCTTCTTATAAAACTTATTTACTCTTTTGTTGGAGTAAAAAGCCACCGCTTCGTCATCAGAGTTGACGATAAGACCTTCGTCTTCAGAGCTTTCCTTCTCAGTAGCTTCCATCTCACCTATTCTTCCTGATACTTTCGAAACCAATGCTAATGGACCTCCCAGATTGATTTTTGACTCTTCAGCTATTTCATTTACTTCAGTTTCATGAGCTTTTAGCCGATTGTAAAGATCATTAAGAGTCAAAAAATCGAAGGTTTGTTGTGTCTTCATCATCAAACTCACATTCCTCCACTCCTTGCGAAGACCCATTATGAAAGTAAGGTTGTATTCCATAGCAGATCTGGTAATTCCATACCTATTACACTTGTAGATGAGCTCGATCAGACGATCATAGTATAATTTGATCGATTCACCATCTTTTTGCTTAAACTCCCTTAATTCATTCAGACATTGCTTGACAGAACTAATTTTGGTACTTTTCCTTCATTGTATTCCAGATTTGTTTTAATGTTTTGCAAGTTCGAACGTAATTATACACCACAGGAGGAAGAGCACCACGAAGCTCTCCCATGCATTTTTTTCTCATTCTTCTGTAGGCTTTCAGTTTGTTCAGTAACACTTTGAGTTGATGTAGAATTACCAATGATTTGAACAGATGAAGGTGGATGAACATCATCACTTTTGCACTTCCATAGCTCTTCATCGAGTCCATTCGAGTAATCCTCCATTCGATAAACCCATTGATCATAATACTCTGGAAAAAGCATAGGAATCTTAGTTGAAGATCCTAACAATACGGTATTCATGTTGAAATTCGCCATTGATGTACAGACAATTTCAGATAAAAGCTTGAGAAATTTGAGATTAACAAAACGAATCAAACAGCATATGAACACCGAACACTCAATTTATCAATCGAAATGCAGAAGCAAATCAGAACTGAAGATCTTCAAAGATTTTCAGGATCAAAAGTGTGGAAACTTTTGAATCTAGAATTAGATTCAAAAAGCTTTTGAAATAGAAGAAAATCAAATCAAAACAATTTGATTCCTGCTCTGATACCAAATGTAGTTCCAATTGAATCGAGTAAATCAAACAGAATCAGAGTTAGAAATGATTTATAACAAGAGATATAAATATAATCTGTTTGGCACGTTGTATTGCTTGATCAGTTGAATACAACAGGTTGAAAGAGAATACGATTACAATCAGGAAAGTTCTTAACCTCTAAAGTATCCTTCCCATATTTATAAGGAAAACTGAAAGCACAAAAAGTATAAGGACTTTGACATCTAAGCTTCGTTACAAAAAGTAGTCCTTAAAATAAACATACAATCCAAAATTTCGACATTACAAACAACAAAGATAATTTCGACATCTCACAACCTTCGAACCCCAACAAACGTCTCCCATAAATCAGTGCGTGTCGTGGTTTGCGTGTCACTAAAGGCATATATTTTGATAGTGATTGACACGCAAAAGGCATATATTCTAATAGTGATTTGGCATCATATTGGTCAAAAACATCTAAATTTTGAAATGTTTCGGACCTGACTATATGGTTGTTCACGCACCCATTGATGAAATATACCCCCAAAAGACCGGTAATTGGGTAACTTATCCGAAATGCAATATCTAAAATATTTTTTTACTCATAAAAGTTATTACATTTTTATATATATAAATACAATATATTTATAACAGAAAGAACTTGTCGCTACAATAGGGTCACAAATTTGTAGCATGACATTTTCCATTTCTTATTACCTTCTCTAAATGAAAACAAAACAAGATGCAAGGGGATATAGGAAGGATTGAGGCATCTTTATTGGTTTGTTAATGCTTTCGGGATACCACCGGCGGTTTATTGGATGACACCGGCGGTTTATTGACGTCAGTAATTGGTGGTGCCTCTAGTTCTACCGATGATGTCTTGACTGAGCCGCTTACAGCCGACACATAAAAGAGGTAATACACTATAGAGAGAAGCACACCCACGAGACCCATGATACCAGCTCCTGAGAAGATCCCAGGCCTTATCGTGCCACAATAGAACACACCATTGACGTCCATAGCCACTTCTTTTTGAGTGCTGAGTTTCGCACCAGCAATAAATAGGATAACAGCTACAGAAGATGTAATCCTGTATAAAAATGGAAAAAAAAAATCAAAATGAATCTTTAGTCGGGATGAAGTTTCATGAACCATTTGCATACCATGATATAACAATACAGACTCGAGCAAGTTTAGCTAAGTCAGGGATTGTCCGGCAACATGAACAACATCCACCGCTGGCTGATGTGATGATTGTACGAGCAAGCACAAGAGCCACCGTCGCCCCAATAGCAAAGCCCATGGCTGGACTACTTGGGTACTCGCAATAGATCTCAATGCCATCGTTAACCACCGTAGCCTGAGATTTCTGCATGATTCACATGCATATGTTTGGAGTAAATAAAAAAGATTTATCAATAAATATTAGTTAACACTGGTAAGTTGTAATTAATTAAGTAAATTGTGGCTCTATGGTTTACCTTAACTCTTGTGGCTTCGGCTGCAAACCCAGCAACTGCAGCTGCGATTCCAAGGATCCCTACAAAAATACAAACGTAAATAGTTTTGCGTTCCATCTTTTTCTTCCTAAAAAGCGATTGTGTTGGTGTTGTGAACTTGTGATGAAACCACAATGGTGATCTTGTTGAATATATATATGTTCGGCAGAACGAAAGAACCAAATTACAATATTCATTAAAAGCTACGAAAACAAGATCACCCTAGATGGTGTACAACTAGGAGGATACAAAATTACAAATACAATGAGCCTAAAAAACACCCCCAGTTTTTATAAAATTATACCCATTAGTATATTATATATAAAATCTAGTAAATAATACGTTAAATTTATGTTAGTAATATAATAATACTGATATTTAACATAAAAGGAGACACGATGATGTGTATTTTATTTCCAACTCACTAGTATACAAGTCATTTAATAGTGCGAGGGTTTTCATTTTTGATGCGGTCCTTTCTAAAAACCGCCTTATTAAATAGCTATAGCATCAAAAAATAAAAGAATCGCACTATAAAATAGCTTTGTTAATGCGTTTCCCAAAATCGCACCATTAAAGCATTTTCTGATGCGGTTTCTCGAAACCGCACCAAAAAATCATGTGGAAACCGCCTCAAAAAATAATTACAACCGCACCAAAAAAATTTCGCACTAAAAAACAATGAACCGCACCAAAAAAGAATTCGCACTAAAAAAATATTTAACTGCACCATTAATCTTTCCTCAAAAAATTCATTCAAATTTTTCATTTCGCGCTAGATCCCTCCAAATTTCGTTCAAAATTTTCATGTTTTTCAAAATTTAATTCAATCTTCCCTCTTTTATATAAAGTTGGAGATGCAACCTCTTCTCATAATTATAGTTTTGTCGATTTCATGCTTGAAAACGCATGTGAGGTATGTCCATTATTTATCTTTTTTTCATTAACAACATTTGTGCCTCCATTTTTCTCTTATTAATTGTAAACGGATGTCCTATTTTAAGTTTTAACGATGTTTTCTTGTTCTGAATTTCTGCAGATGCCTATTCTTTCGTGATATATCTTCAAAAAAGGATCCAAAAACTTATGATGTTTCAGTGACTTTCAATCAACGGGTATGGAGTTAATTTTTGCAGAGTGAGTTTTAAGATGTTGAAAAAGAAATTGAAAACAACATCGATGAAATGTGATTTCCCTAGAACAGATTTTTAATTGGTAGAGAATTTTTTTTTTTTTTGCAGAGATTGAAACCACCCCTTTTCGAGAAAAAGAATTTACAATTAAACCTTTGATTGAAAAACACTCACCGGACATACCTAAATACAAGAAAATGAAGCTTCATAAGTAGCGTGGTATGCATCAATGGCGAACCTGTTAATTGGTGCGGTTTTAGCTAGCTATTTTTTGAGGCGGTTTTGGCTATTTTTTTTGTGCGATTTTAGCTATTTTTTGAGGCGGTTTTGGCTATTTTTTGGTGCGATTTTTGACTATTTTTTGAGGCGGTTTTGACTATTTTTTGGTGCGGTTTTAGAACCGCACCATTAAATAAGGGTATTTTTTGATGCGATATTTTTTGGTGCGGTTCAATACCCGCATCAATTAATCATTTTAACCGCATAACACTGTACTAGTGACTTTTTTTTAACAGGCGGCAATTTTATATAAGGAAACAAGATCCAGATTCCAGCAGGAGCTAGGAAGGTACGAGAGTAAGAACAAAAAAAGCGGATACAACACCAACACTTAGCACCTCAAGACTAACTAGCGCCAAGTTCTGGGACTTTTACATGACAATCGACTAATCGAGGCAAAGCATTGAAAACAAAGTCGCAACATTTAATAAAAGATATGTTTAGACATCTCTTTGACTTCAGTGATAGAAATCTGCAAATCTATAGTCTTGCTAAAACACGTGAACAGAGATAGCAGAAATCTGCAAGAGTCTCCAAAGGTACTAATTGCATTAGACTCTTAAGACATGACCCATGAAGAGCACACAAGCAAATTAACAACAGCAAAACCACCAGGAGAACGAACTTTGAACCACATTTAACTTTAAACACCAATTTAGTAAAATCCATCCACACCATGAAAGCATAAATTTTTTATGGGTTGCATGCATGTACATTAATGGATACTCAACTACATCAACACTTTAACAAGGTTTATATGGATTGGTTCCCATAACGTACACACGATGGATTTACATTTGAGGGGTATAATGGATGTAAATAATTTTGAACCAAAAGTGATCCCATAAGAGCATCTACATGTGAAATAAGTTTAACACGAAAGAAAACGCAAAACGCACACTAAGTCAAATTTGATTGCGAATTAAGTCGAATGGTCAAGACATGGGGAATCGAAAATTTTATGAGGCCATCATCCTCTCCTTGCTCTAGTTTATGTGGAAATCTCTGAACGAGTTTCTGTTTAGGAATAACGTATAATCGATTCCGAAGTTTGTTGACAAAAGACATGCAATGCCTTTTCTTTAATTATGTCAAAAATAAATGCAAAAAAGGTAGTTGCATTTGGTCCGAATGGTGTTATAGCCCCATCTACAGGTTTGTTCTTATTCATTGTAGTTAAGTCATATTGCATTTGGCACTAACAAAGAGGTTCTTTATCGACAAAAGCTAAGAACCAAATTGAAATTATAAATACATACGAACTTTAAATTAGCCTCTGGCGTGTACACCCAAATGTGAGGGGCACCTAATTAAACAAGAAGTAATGCAACGCTCCAAATCCAGCAACAGCAACTACAACGACGATGATGGCAATCAAACTCCTTCACATACATTCATACATATATAGATACATATATATAAATATAATACATACATGCCTACATACATAAGTGCCTACATGGAGATGCTCTTAATTAAACTCATTAAATATCAACTTCCAAAGTGATATTAGACCCTCGATCACTGCATGCTCGGAGGAACAGGTGGTATCTGTGGATCATTTGCAACAGATGGTGCTTCTACCTCCGATGCTGATTGTTTCTTCGGTATATTTTGAGTTGAAACGATCACAAGATAATAGAAAAGCGTCAGGCACAAACTCACAAGAGCCTCGAATGCAGCAGTTGACAACATTCCAGGTTTTAAGAAGTAACATTCATAATAACCTTCTTCATTTAAATGCAAATCCCTTCGACTACAAAGCTTCGCTCCCGCAATAAACTGACCCACTGCTACAAACGACAGGAGCCTGTATATACATATTAAAGTCTAATCGGTTTTATTGATTAAACTACAAGAAAACAAACGGATTTTATAAGATGAAAACAATTAATTACCAGGCTAAAATGATGCAGTATCGTATGAGTTTGGGTATGTTCGGGTGAGTCCGACAACATGCATAGCCAGGCCCTGTAGCTAGTCTAACTACGATACGAAGAAGCAAAAGAGCCGCAGCAGCTGTTATTGCAAGGCCCATGGCTGGACTACTTGGGTGTATGCATTCGTTACCCACAATGCGGATTTGAGAAGCCTGTGGTTTTTGACGAAGAAGAAACAATTAACTACGTAATTATAAGTGTCCATTTATATATAGATTTCCTGCCAATTAACTTATGTACCTTAACCCTGGTTAGCTCGGCGGCAAGCCCAGCTCCAGCGGATAGTAACCCTAGTGCCAGTACTACGGCAGCTACGAGGATGGAGCTCCTGATCACCATCTCTATAAATGCACGATTGTTGTGTATGAAGATTGAAGAAGGCTTTGTGTGTTTATAGGAAAAGATTGTCATAAAACACAACGAATTCCAGAAGCAAGTTTCCAATGGCACCTACAAAGGTGATCCAACAAAGTACCCGCGACGATGGCTGTTAAGTGTTTCTTTGAATATTAATTTCATTATCTTGTTTTTTTCCTTTTGTTTCAATTCTTTGTGAAAGCTTTTTTTTTTTCATGAAACTCTTGTTGTAGATGATTGTTAAGTGCCAATAAGCATGTTATGGTTTATTTAAATTATTACGAATTGTTTTGTTTAGTTTAGCAACATTATCTTTTTTATTGTAAAGTATTATATATGTATAATACTTCTGACTGAGTTAACTTTTGACTGAAATTTGCTGTTTGATTTTGCATTTAACTGACCGTACAAAATGACTATTTTACCCTTGGAACATCTGAAACACAACACATATTGGAATTAGCATAAAACTCTATAACTAATATTAATCACAACATACTTTTATTTATTTGAGAATTATAAAAATAAATACAACATTCAAGATTTTGCTTTTCCACCAACACTTGTATTAGCTATTCCACCGACCTTCAAACTTTTGCTATCAACAAATCGTCATCTTGATATAACAATCCAAAGACCATATCTTCCCAAAAATAAGAAAACAAAGGGATGACAAAAAAAACCCAATTAAACTCGATAAAGAACAGAAAATTTGAAACCTTTATGACCAATTGCTTGTACATCTGTGCAAGTCTATTACTTCCTAATCGAAAAATATAATTAGAGGTAAAAAACAGCACATTTATGAATCAAAATCATAATTCACTGAGAAGAAACAAACCACAACAACTTCACCAAACTTTCCAAAGCATTGTTTAAGTCCTTCATCAGCTGTAGATAATTTGAATTGATTCCAGTCACTTTCGATAATTTATGAATCAAAATCATAATTCACTGAGAAGAAACAAACCACAAACATCTGATTTCGAATTGATTCCAGTCACTTTCGATAATTTGAATCAATAATCAGGTCGCCAAAAATTTCTATCAAACTAATGAATTCACCAATTACATCCATAAACAAGAAATCGAAAATCAATCAACGATTTTTCAGATCAAACTTTGAAGCAATTAAGGAAAACTACCACGTTCGATTACAGACCTTACCGGAGGAGATGGAGGACAAGGTCGGCTGATAATCTGTGATGGAGTCGTTAAGGTTGTGTCGTTGGGTAAATGGTGGAGAATAGTTGTGTTGGAGTAAGTGGAGGGGGAGGGATGCACCGACGATGGCAGAAGAGGGAGCAAACTCCGGCGAACACAGAAGCGGGAGAGGGAGAAAAGGTTGGGTCGTTCACGATGGAGCGTT